AGAAAATGATTATAACATAATTTATAAGTTTATTTTCTTGTGAGTCAACTTTACCTTTTGATGTCAATACGATCTTATGACTTAATTGTTTAAGTTCTAACAATGAGAGCATTTTGTGTAAATGTTATAGACGGAAATATGAACCGTCGTTGTTTTTCAAGTATCCTTTAATAATATGTGTATTATGATATGTAACACTCTCAGCTGATCTAAGCAGTAAAGAATACGTCACCTTATATCAAAAGAAGCGTATGAACAGTAAAATACCAGCTTGGTACGTCTTGTTTCTGCTTGAATAGAAGACACACCTTTATTTCTCCTTGAGTAGAAGAAACTTCGTTGTTTCTGCTTGAATAGAAGACACACCTTTATTTCTCCTTGAGTAGAAGACACGTCGTTGTTTATGATTGAGTAGAAAGCACTTCGTTGTTTATGATTGAGTAGAAGGGACGTCGTTGTTTATGCTTGAGTCGAAGACACGTCGTTGTTTCTGCTTGAGTAGAAGACACGTCCTTGTTTATGCTTGAATAGAAGGGACATCGTTATTTCTGCTTGAGTAGAAGACACGTCTTTATTTCAGCTTGAGTAGAAGACACGTCGTTGTTTCTGCTTGAGTAGAAGACACGTCTTTATTTCAGCACGTCGTTGTTTATGCTTGAGTCGAAGACACGTCGTTGTTTCTGCTTGAGTAGAAGACACGTCTATGTTTATACTTAAATAGAAGGGACATCGTTATTTCTGCTTGAGTAGAAGGCACATCGTTGTATCTACTTCAGTAGAAGACACGTCGTTGTTTCAGCTTTAGTAGAAGACTCGTCTTTATTTCAGCTTGAGTAGAAGGCACGTCGTTGTTTATGCTTGAGTAGAAGGGACGTCGTTGTTGCTGCTTGAGTAGAAGGGACGTCGTTGTTTCTGCTTGAGTAGAAGACACGTTGTTGTTTCTGCTTGAGTAGAAGACACGTTGTTGTTTCTGCTTGAGTAGAAGGCTCATTGTTGTTTCTGCTCGAATAAAAGGCACGTAGTTGTCTATGCTCCAGCGGAAGACGTCTCGTTTTTTTGTTTTTTTTGCCGCTTATTATTAAGTACTTAAAAGGTTTAAAATATGTGCAACTAATCTGTTATATTATAACAGAAGACATCATGTAATTATTCAACAACATAATGAAATATTTACAAGAGTAGCTGTAATAGAGGATCCATTGAGTTAACCGAGTTAAAACAACAAGTTGTTGTCCTTCATGTCCACATAGAACACAGAATAGCTACCAAATTAAAACTGTACATAATATACTTACTCAATTCCTTTACTGTTCTTTCTTATCTAAATATATTATTAATTTATCTCTGAGAGAATAATTCACACTTCTAGTAGCAGTTAAGATGCAAACTTCGAAAATTTGTAAGATGTTATGATTTCTTATTGTATTCTTTTCGGTGAACTTTCTTCCAGCATCGAAATATGATTTGTGTTACTCGTAGGCAGAATACGTATGTTTGGATAACACAATCATAGTTTTATATTGTGTGACGGTTTCTTAAGTCGAAAGATTTTCTCGTGAATATTTCAAATGATTCAGTGAAGAAACTGAAACATAAGAAAATAAAACTGACATGGAGAAAAATATGTTTTAAGTAAGCAACACGAACACTGAAAAATAACAGCATCAAGGTGACCTTCTCTGAAATTTCCTGTTTCCTTTTACATTTAATAAGGGGGAATGTGGGCGTCAACACATGGTGATATCAATACGAGATCAAGCGTCGTTTCGATAAAACACACGTCAAATAGCATAGAGACCCAGTACGATAAGAGCCCTGCTTCTTGATAAGTTTTATCAAGACATTTAATATACAAAGTCTTTCTCCTAGACGTTTTTGTCACAATTTTACAATACAGATTATTTCCTTAGAGATTCATGACGAATGTTTTCTTACGTCATTGACGTGTTTGTTCATAAAAAAAAACATAAATACACATGCTTCCTTTATCCACTGTTCAAGACTAGATATACAATGTGGAGGTTTTAGGTAAGCTCTTATCTTCATTATTTTACAAAATGTATGTCAAAAGACTGAGTTAAGCCTATTGACCATGTACAAGTATTTGTTGACAATCTCTACCATAACTTAGCTGGAGTGAAAAAGAGATGATAACCCTCAAATGTGTAATTCTTAGTTTGTCAGAGTATGTTATTTAACGTGATCTTTTACGTATTATTATTAAAACATACATTTTCCTTGGTATTTACGGTCGGTAACTATTCCGAAAAGTGGTTCGTTCTCAAGAAAACTCATTTAATGATCCCCAGTCATGTTGAGTTCGCACTAAAGCAACTGTATATCACTGTGAAGTCTGAAGAACAACTTTGCACTATCGGAGCGACAACAGAGAAGCGTAAATGGCAGGTTAATGATTTCTAAATATGGAGAGATTTATTTATTGATACAACTCTAAAATCACAATTTTGAGACACTTTTTTTTTTATTCTTCATCGTTATAAAAATCACTTTTTTCAACGAAGCGTACTACCGCACGTAAACACCAAGCATTCTTGAAGTTTTTATCAAACTGTGAAATTGCAGCCGTTATCAAGTAAATAATTCTATAGAAAAGTTCTTTTGTGATGATGGCTACTTTCAAGTTTCTATTACTAAAACTCTGATCCATTTTATTAGCCAACTTTCACCTCAACTGAACAAATTTTATACTTCTTCCAAAAGTAACGTATGAAATACAGTGCAGGTTTATAGGATTTATTTTGGTGGTTCAACTCGGTAATCAGTGTAGTTATGATCTCTGACGTAGTTCGGAAACCCACAATTTAAGAGTTTAAGTTTTCTGTTGTCTCTTACTTTCATAGAGTTGTCTTTTATTTAAGTTTTCAGGTATTTTATTGAATTCCCTCTATATATTTTCTAACCTACATCTCCTGATAAAAAAAAAGTAAATGACTTTCAAGAAATATGTTTGTTGTAAAGATAACCAATTATTCAACACGTGCAGTAAACGTTATTAAATAAAAACATATTCTACACATAGTATGGGTTCTAAAAACTCGTGCGATTAATTACAACTCGGACATTAAAATTATAATACTTTTTGTACTTTACAAACAGCTAAAAGCAAGGCGGTGGTTAATACAACTTAAAAGCTACATATTTCAACTGCCACAGTTATCTCGCTCCCATATCTATACACTAAACACCATACCCAAGCCAAGTTTTATATCCAACTAAAATTACATTTAACATGTACCAGACAAAGAAACTTAAAGACGGCTGATTTCCTTTCTCCCACTCAAGTAAACATCTGACATCAAAGTGAGATAATGTAACAAATTTCTGAACCAATTTCTTGCAAAAGCTTTATTCCTTCTACGGAAAGAAAGGTGAACACGTGTTGATTACTTACCAACTTTTTTCGTCGTTTCTTTACATTTTATATAGTAAACGCTAAAAGGTTTCAGTAAGAACAACAAGAAAAGTGTTTTTTTTTACAGAAAAATACTTGTTTTTGGATAAACGAACGTCTATACTTCATCCAATACCTTAAAAGAATGGATAAAGTGAACAAATATTAGCTGTCTTCTTAATGTCAACCCAAGAAGCTAACTTTCATTCCTGTGTTGACTTTTGGTTCAAGAAAAGATTGCGTGTTATGGGTCTTCAGACTTCAATAGTGTAGGTTGGGGTAGTGTAGCAGGAAATTGGTTGGTGAAAACTAGTAGAGAATTCATGCTAACTTACTGTAGAGCAAAACAAGTCTGAATAATATCAAACCAATTAAGCAATGGTAGATTTCTCGGAATTCGTGTTTTCACGTTACTCTAGTTACTGGTCGACTCCGGTGTGTATCAGTGTGTTCTAAAAATCAAGTTTGTTTGCTTTAGTTTTAAGTGCAAGGCTGTACAGTGGCTTTCCGTACGACCCCAATGCAGGGATCGAGCCCCGAGTTTTAGCGTTATAAGCCCTCGAGCTTATCAGGGAATATAGTTTTTAGAAAGGGTGTACTTACAGAGTCTGATTAAAAATAATAATATTAATGAATGTAATAAATACGTTTGTGTGCTAATTATTTATAAATATGCTATGTACGTTCGTGTGCTAATTATTTATCAACGTTTTCTTATTACAGGTGTGTCTTTAGGCCCAGGTGATGACCAAAAGTAAGTGTTATTAATTATGTAATTATCTACAAAAAGTACAATCTCACCGAGTTTTATCAAGCTTTACTGGAATATTTGTTCTATTTTGTTACAAGTAGCGGAAATAAAAATTGGCCGTTCAAATCTAACCAAAGTCTTTCTAGACTTCTCGGTATCTAGACTGAACTTAGAAATATCAAAACATGCTTAATGTGTGGAGGTTAATGTAATTATTCAAACTGCTGTCTAAGAAACAAACAACGTTGCCACTTTTAAATACGAATAAGTGATAGAATTGAGTCGCTCAAAAATTCACTGGTACCTTATTCAAGGTCTCTAAATGTTTCAAATTAATCAAATTATTGGCAAACAAAGATTGATTTGTCTACTAACATACTTATCGATCTGCATGTAGCAACAGATTCTGTTTTACGATATTATAAAAACTAATTAATTTTCCATGTTGATTTAGCATGGTCGAGCAGTAACGAAGTCTCGTCTCAGATTCCTTTCTGGAAAAAAAAAACATTATTAAAATGTATTATTCTACTACGTACTTATAGGAATTCTGTAAACTCGCTGGTTCTCTCTTTTCAACCTTTATCGTATCCAGCTGTGACGCCACTAGTTATTCATGTCGTTCACTTATTTTTATGTCCACAGAACGTGTAATCACTCGACTTGTCGCTCTGTAGTTCACAAGACTAATAAGCTCAACCAAGCGTTCGTATCCAGCTGTGACGCCACTAGTTATTCATGTCGTTCACTTATTTTTATGTCCACAGAACGTGTAATCACTCGACTTGTCGCTCTGTAGTTCACAAGACTAATAAGCTCAACCAAGCGTTCGTATCCAGCTGTGACGCCACTAGTTATTCATGTCGTTCACTTATTTTTATGTCCACAGAACGTGTAATCACTCGACTTGTCGCTCTGTAGTTCACAAGACTAATAAGCTCAACCAAGCGTTCGTATCCAGCTGTGACGCCACTAGTTATTCATGTCGTTCACTTATTTTTATGTCCACAGAACGTGTAATCACTCGACTTGTCGCTCTGTAGTTCACAAGACTAATAAGCTCAACCAAGCGTGCTAATGGTCAGATTTAGGTTAACATCCCGTCATCTTTACTACCAGAAATTTACACTTCACAATAGCTTAGCCTCAGGAAAAAAGATACATTATGTAACATATCTTCAGAGTTCATCATTATCTGCGCTGTCATATGTATCTCTACGTATCTTTACATATGTATAAGACGTGTTATACAGAACGAAATGGGTAAAGAAAGCGTTTTGCGCAACTTCATATTTTATCTTACATCTCAATGATAGTGATGTTTTTTTTTATATTAAGATGGTTATTTAGTTTACAATGTATATGGTTATCCACGTAGTAAAAAAAAGGTTTACTGATTCCTTTTTTTTTTGCTATATCAAACTCTGTACAAAGATAACCTTATCTTTATTAAATAATATTGATATGCATGTAATCAGTTGCTAAAACATTTCATTGGTAATTTTTTTTACTTTTCTGCATACAAAAAACCTCATTTATGTAACATTTATATGTACAAGTCTGTATAATTTGATAAAGCTTTTTATAAATGACATTTTTAATGCACATAACAAGACACGAGACTATAAATGACGTACAGCTGTCATTTCAAATACTTTGAAACTCTGCACATAAATAATAGTATATTGTAATTAACTCATGGTTAAGTTTGAATCTATGACTGAAATACTAAATATTATAAATAATTATGCGCTTCTAGGTCTAACGAGCAGATAAAGAACATAGATGACCAACCTGACCCTGAAGATAAGTGTCCAGACGTGGTTCCTCCAAGAAATGTTTCATCAGGTAAATTCTGAGATGATGATACTTTGAAGCAAACGATTTGTCAGTAACCGCTGAAATAAGAGACGTTAATTGCACTTAACCAACCAAATATTTAAAACAACTTATATTCCCTTTACTTATAGATATATATAAAGATTAACTCAAATTTATTGGACAAACTAGTGACACAATATATTGAATTGGCTTTAACTGTTAATACCAAATATTACCGTCAACCACATTTGTTCAAACCATCTAATAAGAAGCTAGCATACCTATATACTGAAGGTGGGCTAAGCTCTTAGCCTTATCCTCAATAGCTATTTAACGAGTGATTAAAATTTAAATAATCCAACAAGAAAAATGTGTAAACGGAATTTCAACGTTCAAGAAACTCACACGAATCAAATGTTTAACTTAGCAGACATGTAATGATCTTTTTCAATATGGTTGGAATGTCTTGGAGAAACACGTTAAAAGACTTAATTTGGAAGAGAGAAAATGGAATTTTATTCTTCTGTCGTCTATTTTGGTTACTTTCATTCAGCACATAATTTCTTATTTAACAATAAAGTTTGACTTTCTCATCAAAGTATTCTAGAATCAAAGGGTAAATTACAATTTTCAGTCACATATTAGTGTATAGAAATTCCTTTTTCTTCTACCAATAATCATTTCTACGTTTTTTTACGTTATTTCTATAAAAATCAATTTCATGTTATATTTGACGGCTTATTTTTGGATAACTTTCTGTCTCTCTTCCATCTAACGCAGAAGACATGATGAAAAATCCAGCAATCAATATGACTGACTTGGGAACCCAAAGGATTTACGAGAATTTGAGGATTGACAGGGATCGAACCTATGAGAATATAATAGCTCGTGAAGATTTTCTGCCAAACCAGGTTAGTCACATCTCACACAAGGATCTAAATTTGGAATCCAGAAAAGTGTATATCTCTACGTGTATGTACCTATGCTTACAAAAGAAAAACATCTAAAAAACTAACAGAATCTTCTTATCTTAGAAAAAAAAAATTGTTAGACAACCAGTTCAATAAAATGTGAGACAGAAAAATATCACTAGAATACAAGCTAAAATATAGGAAATGTATATGGAAAAGTAAGGCGATAGAGATCTGATTTAGATCGGTATAAATACTCAAATAAACATATATATATATGTATACATACAACGTGATGCTAAATTATTCAGTAAGCCTTTATATATTAACACATAATATTATTAAATAACCTTACAGAAAACTAGTCTTACAGCTAGCTGCTCAAAATCGCCCAGCATTCACAAATTCTAGGAATCTCTTAATTACAGAGTTGCATACTTAAAAGTCCCTATATTTGTAAACTGAATGTAATTCCAACTCGATGCGTTCTCTAAGTTCCTGTAGGTGGCGTTGCTTTGAACTCTTGTTCATTAATGGTACCCTAGGTAAAGAAGTCTAGTGGGGTAAAGTCTGATCATCTCGGTGGTCACTTGATTTGTCCATTTCGATCAATTCGTCGTTGTAGACATTTCACTTCTAATAATTCTTTAACATATCGGTGGTATATACAAGGAATTCATGCTGTTTCCAAAGCCTCGTGCCAACATCAGTGAATTCAGTCAAAACTGGTACAAGAAGAAGCAACCAATCACTTCCACGCGCAATAAACCATAACTCCAAATAAATGTCATTCCTCTGTTATCTCCCAGTCAATGCCATTATGCCAATCAGTATGTCAGTTTAACACGAATTTCGCCTCGTTCGTCCATAACGTGTGTTCTATCACACCTTATCAGGTTATGCATGTAATATGCGCAACCAATATGTTCATACACTTAAGAATACGCCCTGTTGAACATTATGAAAAGTCGTATTTGATGTTTAATCAATCAACTGATTTATCGAGCTTTGTGTTATTCCTTATTTTCTAATGTGACCACTGTCACTGGTACATGTACTTCTGGTGTATGTATTACGGAACCATTGCTTTCAAATTTAGATTTGATAACCTTAACTATGTAGGATAATGGCTGGGCTTCAGTCATTTCTCTCAGTACTGTTGATATACTTCCGATACCTTGGTGTACCTGTAGATCAAGTATATAACACTCACAATCATTTCTCTCAGTACTGTTGATGTACTTCCGATACCTTGGTGTGCCTGTAAATCAAGTGTATAACACTCACAGTCATTTCTCTCAGTACTGTTGATGTACTTCCGATACCTTGGTGTACCTGTAAATCAAGTGTATAACACTCACAGTTATTTCTCTCAGTACTGTTGATGTACTTCCGATACCTTGGTGTACCTGTAGATCAAGTGTATAACACTCAATCTCGAGTAACGGATCATGAGCTCTCTCCACCATATTCACTTAACAATTGCGTAAAACAATACTTATCAGAGTTTACTGCGTGAATTTGGATCATCATGCACAACGTAAAACAATACTTATCAGAGTTTACTGCGTGAATTTGGATCATCATGCACAAAGTAAAACAATACTTATCAGAGTTTATTGCGTGAATTTGGATCATCATACACAAGTCTCAATATACGGAAATTTGTTAAATTAAAAAAAAATTGTGTGTGTGTGTGTGTTTATTTTAGAACAAAGCCACAATGGGCCATCTGCTGCGTTTACCGTGGAGAATCGAACCCCAAATTTTATCGTTGTAAGCCCGTAGACTTGCCGCTGACCCACCGGGAAGCAAAAAAATAACACAAATACTGTATTTGTTACATTTCATGTTCAGACAAATGCAAAAAAAAAAAAACTGCGTTATATTTTTTGTAATTCAGTAGCTCTGTTCTGTCATGAGAAAACATTTATATCAAAGCAGCGACAACCCGACTGCACACGAATTTCATGATAAATCCCTGATTTGGATATAGCGTGTTGTACAAAAACTTTACTGTTCGACTATTGAATCTTTTGTTTTTCTATTCGAAATGCAGGAAGAACTTATGTACAGAGAACTGTCTCCTTCGGAACCCAAAACTCAACTGGTCAGAAGAACGGATGTAGAACATACAGAATATGCGAACATTGACCATCAGAGAAGCCACAACCTTCGACCCTGTCCACGGATGGAGACGGGGGAAGAGTTGGATGGATTTTCAGTGGAGACTCCATTAATGAATAGCCTTAAAAACGACAGAAGAGTAAGTCTACTAGTATGAAAATAAATGTTTTATAACGAAACCAAAGAAATCTGGTTCAAATGGACCTAACTAACTCACTTGTTATAGAAACTCGGGAATTTGTGTGTGTGTTTGATATGCGACATACATTACGTTTATTTTATTTAATAAATAGTTTAGTTCTTCACCTTTATTATTTATTTTAATTAATTTTAATTAAAGTTTGCCTTTTTTGACATTTACAATAATAAAAATGTATATTAGGCAGGCGGTAGCACTGCCTATGTAGGGATGGCTCGGTTTGTTCATCAAAATGGTATTTTAAATTTCTCCTTAGTTCGTGATCAGAACTTTGTAATACTATACGGTGTTTCCTTTTATAACAATATCTGTTTAATGACTGAGTCACAAGTTCTGGGAATGTCTGTAAATATCATAACAAAAAGTTTAAATTCCTTGTTCTGCTGGGGTTATTAGGTTGATTTATTCTAGATGACTATGTGAGTGCGTCTATTCTGAACCCGTTTTAACATAAAAATATAACTTGTATACTTTTGTTGCTCCTTTACAGGATGTGGCCTGTTTATAAAAGTAACTTTCCATCTGACTTATAAACTTAAATAATAAAAACAAACCTCTTTAATTAACGCAGCTTCTAAATGAGAAAACAACACATATTAGATTATACATTTTATACTTTCAGCACATAGCCTCTTAACACCAATATTAGATTATACATTTTATACTTTCAGCACATAGCCTCTTAACACCAATATTAGATTATACATTTTATACTTCCAGCACATAGCCTCTTAACAACAATATTAGATTATAATTTTATTGCTAAGCAACATGATATAAAATCCATTGTTGGAACGCACTGCAACCAAAAATTGAGCGTGAAAGCGTTCACGACAGTATAACATCCCATTTTCTGCCTCTTTGTTAGTCAAGTTTGATTTCGCAAAATTTATTTATTTTAGTTAGGTATGAAATGTGAGGTTAGGAGGTTAGGATATACTATGGGTGGGGTTGGTAATACTTGCCATGTCATGTTTGACGGGCTATATGCTAGTAATAGTGAAAAAAAACCCTATAACATCCCATAATAGTTAAAAGCCACTCTATAGTATTCCATAATAGTTTAAAACTACTGTATAATATCCCATAATAGTTTTAAAAACCGCTATAACATCCTATAATAGTTAAAGACAAACATTATAACATCTCATAATAGTTGAAATGCTCTAACATCCCATAATAACTAAAACCACCCCATAATAGTTTTAAAAAAATCACTAGCTTTTCGTTAGCTTGCCTTTAAAAAGATACGCTCGCGCACGCACGTGGATAAGTAATAATACACAGGTGTATGCCCTCAGAGTCCACTTAGTATGGGTGCAAAATTTCAGGTTTGTAGGCTATTTGCTCTTGCAGCTATGGCGGTCACATATTCATTTATATGTGGGTTTTTCGCCAGCTTGCCTTATTAAAAAGATGCGCATGCGTGTACGCACTTGGATAAGATAAGTAATTCCCAGGTGCACACCCTCAGGGTCCACTTAGTACGGGAGCAAAATTTCAGGTTTCTAGGTTCTTTACTCTTTCAGCTATGGCGATCACACACAGACCCACCCTTTTATTATTACATGATAACTCAAAAACTAAAACAATGATGTCAACCAATTTCACTGAGGTGGCATAGTTTCAAACAGAGTACACGCTTTTATAACTATTATTAACTGGTATTAATTTTAAGACATCATAATTCTAGTGTAGACGATGTTATCATTACCCCTTGAAGTTTGCTTTCTTACAGAAATGTGGTGTTCCTTTAAAAACATTAATTACAGGGTAAAACAGTAATTACCAGCTAATATTAGATAAACAATAAATATTACACTTGGAACCTCATTGTATTTAGAACTTCGTTATAAATACAACCTTCGTATGCCTGTTGAAACACTGCATTAAAAAACAAGCAAACAAGTAAAGAAAAACTTTTCAAAAAAGGAAGTAAATAGGAATGGCATTTGCATCATCCATACATAAAACTATCTTGATTGTATTGTTTTTGAAAGATTGACGTTAGCCATCCCTATATTTACTCCCTTTTTAGAAAAGTCTTTTCTTTAGTTGTGTCATTAAGGTCTAGGGGGCTAGAATTATTCTAAAGACAAATACAGTAGGTAATAATCTTTGAACTTAATAGTTAAGCCTATTTATACTATGTAAGGTTGCAAGGACGCTTCCAATACATAGGTCACGAATTATTCTGCTCTTCTGTTTTAGACTGTTGTCTAAATAGCGTATCAAGATTTGGTATTGACAGCATATATAATTATTAAAAAAAAGTATTTTCGGTAAACATAATTTAAGTTGTTTTTACTAGATTTCTACATAAAAAAGTTGCTGATGTAAGATCTTCTACATAGGACACGTGAGGAGAAAATTCACAACCCGATTACACTTTGCAACTGTTTTAAGTTGATTATCTTCTTTAGAAGTAGTTTGGTTAGCAAAGTATACCAAATGTCACCATGGACAGCACAACGTGTTCTTTTACGAACATTCATGCTTGTGAACAAGAACATCTGGGTTTGCACTAAGACTTTGGATCATTTCACAACTGTCATATTTCAAGTTCAACACAAGTGTTATTATCATACATTTACGGTTTGTAGACACAATTTATTTTACAGCAATGACACAATGGAGTGGTTGTCTGGTTCATTTGCATCGGGTTTACTCAACTGTCATTTATTACCGCCTTCTATATTCATAACACTAGTTTGTGTAATCATCAGACGAATAACCAAGCTAAGGACCTGATGGGTTTCTGAGACTTGGAAATGTACAGAATTCCGTTACTATGATGCAAACAGTTCACAAAAATATCAAAAATCCCAGTATTTTGTAATTATTTCATTCTGTAAATAATTATGAATGATTTATTTCTCGATTCAAAGAATTGTCTTGATTTAGACTCCGCTTAACAGTCTTTGAACGAAACTATTATAAGGTATCGGAGACTTTACAGCATGTACACACATTTTATACAAACACGGCAGAAATGCTCCAGAATAGTTACTGCTTATATAATAATATCAAATTAGTCATCCTAGTGCTACGTAATGTTTTTCACTTAGTAAATACTAACAAAGTTGATGTTTCACTTTCGTAGTATTAATGTCCTTAAACCAGAAATACATTTTTATCTACGTAGGTTCGTTATTCTGTTATCTAAAACAGTGGCGTAGACTTTGTTATTCTGTTATCTAAAACAGTGGCGTAGGTTTGTTATTCTGTTATCTAAAACAGTGGCGTAGGTTTTGTTATTCTGTTACCTAAAACAGTGACGTAGGTTTTGTTATTCTGTTACCTAAAACAGTGACATAGGTTTTGTTATTCTGTTATCTAAAACAATGACGTAGGTTTTGTTGTTCTGTTATCTAAAACATTGACGTAGGTTTTGTTATTCTGCTTTCTAAAACATGACGTAGGTTTTGTTATTCTGTTATCTAAAACAGTGACGTAGGTTTTGTTATTCTGCTTTCTAAAACAATGACGTAGGTTTTGTTATTCTGTTATCTAAAACAGTGACGTAGGTTTTGTTATTCTGCTTTCTAAAACAATGACGTAGTTTTGTTATTCTGCTTTCTAAAACAATGACGTAGGTTTTGTTATTCTGTTATCTAAAACAGTGACGTAGGTTTTGTTATTCTGTATCTAAAAATAATGGCGTAGTTTTTGTTATGCTGTTCAACCTTCTAAAATGACTAGCGTATAAACGGTTTCTTATTCTAAATGACTAAAGTTACTAATATGGATTTATTCCAATTTTTCATCATCTCACGTAAGTATTTTTTTTTTGATATTCTATTCAAGGCTGAAATAATTAGGATCGTTAGCTTATTATAAAATTAGATTCAGTTTCTTTAGTGTAGCTCTGAAAAAAAAAACATTTTTGCTTTAAACCTTAATGTAAATTTCTGTTTAAAAACCTGAAAGATGCATTTTGTTTATGTGCTTAACGTTTTTATCTCGAGTTTCGTTTAGTATCTGTAGTTGTGAGTTTTAATAACATCTTTATTTAATATTTTCCACTTAACTGCTGGCAATGTCTGTTTTACCTTCTAGGTATCATCATTATACGAGATTTGATGAATCATAACTTCTCTGACATCATTTAAAGTGGGAGCAGTATCTAGTAAAAATAGTCTTATAAATACAGAAATTGTAGGCAAAACTGATTGATTGATTACGTTTAAGCACAAAGCTATACAATAGGGTATCTGCGCTGTGCCCACTGCAAGTATCGAACTCCGGTCTTTAGCGTTATAGTCCCTAAATATTATCCCTGATCAAGCGGGGGACTGTAGCAAAATAAATATTGTAAAATTTTAATCTGTTTCTATTAATCTCTGAATATAATACCTTCCTACGTATATATCTTCGTAAGGAACATTGGAAATATTTTTATACTCTCTCCTACCTTTCTTTTAAGCACGAATAAAACTGTATTATTATATTAGGGTAAAGGTAACGTAAATCTCTCAAGTGAATTTTTATTGGTAAGAATTACCCTAGGACGGTTTCTAGGCAAAGTATCGGTTAATATTCTAAGACCATTTTCTGGTATATATTCGTCCTTTACGTGATGGTTGCCCGAGAAGTAATGTCACCTGGTCGTAGACTTGATGCCACAAGATTAATAGCCAGATGCTCCACTGTGAACTAACTTAAGGTTTATGGTGATGGTTGCCCAAGAAGTAACGTCATCTGGTCGTAGGTTTGATACCACAAGATTAATAGCCAGATGCTCCACTGTGAACTAACTTCAGATTTATGGTGATGGTTGCCCAAGAAGTAATGTCATCTGGTCGTAGGTTTGATTAAAATGAAAATACATTATGTGTTTTTGAAATGTACGTTAAAATTACACTGTTTGCGCATGTTTCTAGACACATTGTTTACAGCTCCCTCCTACATGTTTTTAGATAAATTTTTTACATACACATCCACGTAGCTTTACGTCACTCTGCTAACACTCATCGTGTATTAAAGTACAGAGTCCCTATAAAGTTTATTAAACAGTATTTATTATAGATCAATGAGACCATAACTATATAAATACCTAAGACTGAACTTGGTGCTGTCTACTCAGTGTGCACATCATTCACATGAACGACGACTTGAAATCTTAAAATAAGGTGGCATCATTCACATGAACGACGACTTGAAATCTTAAAATAACATGGCATCATTCACATGAACGACGATCTGAAATCTTAGAATAACGTGACATCATTCACATGAACGACGACCTGAAACATTATAATAACGTGACATCATTCACATGAACGACGACCTGAAACATTATAATAACGTGACATCATTCACATGAACGACGACCTGAAACATTATAATAACGTGACATCATTCACATGAACGACGACCTGAAATCTTAGAATAAAGTGATAGACAGTAGAATGAAGCTGTCCAGTATTCAACGTCTCGGGTGCTATAGAATGGGGACATCAAGTCAGTTAACGTAGCCAGCATTCCACGACACACAAATAACATAAGATACTTCCATCTCTGATATAAACCATTTATTTTGTTTTTCGATTCGGGAGACAACCAGGGGCTCTCAGACGCGATTGCTTTTCTTCACCACGCTCATGATGGAAGTGAGGGGCCATGCACAGAAAATTAAAAGTTTGTATCATACGCGGATCGTTTTACTTATACTATATGGTCCTTCGGGGCGGCGGGGATATCCAAATCCTAGAGATTTAGCTGTGGGGGGGGAGCAGGAATACCCCGAGAAAGTCCACTTTCACCTACCTGACCAATGCACTATTAAACTAGAGTGGTATTGAGGCGGCCAGAAGAACGAAGGAGTGATAGGCGTGGGAGTCATTGTTGTGGTTTACTAGTAGAGCAGGAATATTTTCTTGATTAGGAAGCGATTGATGAATTTTAGTTGACTGGTTGTAGATCTCGTTGCGAGTCTTCATCATCACTGGTAGGGGGGCAACGGAACAAGAAGTTAGGGGTGGGATTCATCTGTATCAACGTCCCTCACGACTGAGAGTCGGCGAAGGTGTCATCTACAGGGAGACTAGCTAGTCAGATGGGAGGCAATTAGTGGGAGGTTCGGAAAGAAAAGGCAGGAATGGACGGAGGCGTTGGAAGATGTTATCCGAAGAAGTGTTGTCCTTGGTGGGCTCGGGAGGCGGCTGGGTGTGATTGGCTTTTTTTTTCTAGGGTTTGGTTTAAGTGGTCTGAGCGGTTACAGTTGTAGGGTCTGTCATGGTTGACATGTCCTGACTTTCCTGGGGTTCTGTTTGAGTGTCTTGTTTTATGATTGTTCCGGCTTAAGTGGCGAGTGTAAATAGGCCATTCACAGCAAATAGCCATGATTTATACTGAACACTTTCGTTTACTGGGCATACCTAGCACCCTCTTGTGACAAGTTTCAGAGATCACGGGTTCGTGTTTTCATTCTATAGGAACACTGTATACTTAACGAACATTTCAACAGTTACATGAAATTGGTTTGTTTTAGACATTTTGATACTTATTTTAATATTCCAATATTATGAACTTACGTTAATTATTTGACACTTCCCATTCTACCTTTATTCCAGTTCATGTGTTCGAATATTAACAGTGTTCAGAATAATCCGATTTTCTTGCAGTGGGGAAGAACAGATCGGAAGAGACCTGTTGTATCAACGGCAGTGTAAACGCTATTCGAAAATATCGGAAGAGGTATCTATTATTAACGGCAGTCTAACAACGCCATTCGGAAATATTGGAAGAGACCTGTAGTATCAACGGCAGTTAAACAACTCCATTCCATGCCTGCAAGTAGTAACCTCTCGTTTGTGAAGAGTTTACTCAGAGAAAGACGATCAGGGAAATGCCTTATCGATCTCTCGAGTATGTGATTATGAGATGCTAAAATCGTTTCTGGTGTCTGTAAACAAATGTGATTTTTTTTAGTAAAATGGATACGTCTACTGGTCTTTGGTGAGAAGACCCAGCGGTGATAGCTTAAAGAACCGCGTCCTTTGCCTAAATCTCTGTTATCAGTGATGTTTTGTGTTTACTATTGACGGTTATATCTGTGGTTATGTAAGTTTGATGAAGTGTCTCCAAGTTTAATATAGAGCTATACACACTTGTTTATAAATGTGGTTTGATCGTTAAATTTTTGTCAGTTTGTAAAGGAGTAGAATTACGTTTAATTTTGCATATTATCTCGATATTTTGTTGAATGTGCTGTGGTTGTGTGAATAGTTTTTTGTGATTTTTGAATATATATTTGAATAATTAACTAATTAATAAAAGTTTTAAGTTAAAAAAAAATCATAATCGACATGAAATCTGAATTACCCTTTTTAATTTGTATTTTTCTTCGTTGTTGTTTTTATGACATGATTTAAATCTTTAATGTTAAATACGGCGTAAACCTTTCAAAACACCTTCGTCTCTCGTTTAGCAATAAGCACCAATCATTTTGGCAAATACTATCAAAGTTGTGAAAATATGGAAAAAAAGTCATATATATATGCTAATTAAATCATGGCTGGAAATATTAATGAAACTATCAACCAGTATCTCTGATGTTCTCAAAGATCACCCTAGTTGAAATGAAGTAAATGTTGCGGATGGTATTCAACAGAATTGGCTAAACCCAAACTGAATGAAAGTAAAAAAAAAAACTAAAAACAATGTGGATGGTATTCAACTCAATTGGCTAAACCCAAACTAAAGGAAACTAAAAAACGAAACATTACGGATGATATTCAACACAATTGGCTAAACACAAACTGAATGAAAGTAAAAAACTGAAATTGGGTATTTACGGCCCAATTTTACCTTTCAAATATTCATTAGAAAATGATAGACGTCTCAGTGATCCTTTCTCAGAACTTTGCTCAATTAAGTTGTAAATATTCTCATTTATTTTTCTACTCAGTCCATTTGCTTAAATAACAATTTTCTTGTATATTGTTAACACGACTAAACGAACATAGAAATAATCACCCACACTGCTCTAAATTCGTTTCTAATTTAAAAAAAAAATACATTTTATTACCCTGCCTTTTCAAGTATTTGGAAAATGCTGAAACTAAATTTACTATTGAGCATATGTATTAATCTTATGAAATAATCAGTAACAGTGATAAAGTTATCACTTTTCAATAACGGTGAATTACGTGGGTACAGACTTTCAGACATGGTAGATTGTGTGTAAAAGCTGTATATATATTTATGTTGTAAAACAAGGCACAGTACATTAGTTTATAGTCATGCTTTAGCAGTAATATAACGTGTTGTATTAGAAATTGTTTTTATTTATAACGCTTGTTAATTACTAACTGAAAGTCAAACATAGACTTAAAGTTAGTGTTGTTTCATTTATTTCTGGTAAAATTATTAAAATACTAATTTTTACGTAACTATATTTGTAATGTTGAATAAACAGTTGTAAATTGTGAACTGTTTGTTATTCGAGTCTGTATATTCTTAACCATTTTTTTTAAGCTGTTAGAAAATACAAAAATACCGTTTGGAAAGTGTCTTCGATCAAAAGAGAACATAATTGTTGAGAAAAGTTCTAGGGGTTATTTATCGTGGTTTGATAAAGTTAAATGATAATTAATTCGCGATGTTGAAACTCCCTCATAACCAACCTTCTCAGTCTGTTTGTTGCAACGTGGAATAGAGAGTTACCGACTTTCTCAATCTGTTTGTTGCAAGGTGGAATATAGAGTTGCCGACCTTCTCAGTCTGTTTG